GTGCTGGGATTACAGGCTTGAGCCACCGCACCCGGCCGAATGTGTATGTTTTAAAATGTTTTCTTGAAGCTGGGCACAGTGGCATGTTCCTTTAGCTTGAGCCTAAAGGTAAGAGTTTGGGTCCAGCTTGAGCAACATAGTGAGACTCTTATCTCTAACCACAGTAACAGCAAAAACAAACAAACAAACAAAACCTTGAGGTTTGGATACACTCCTGTTTAAGAACCCCAGAATAGATAAGTGCAATATATACATTTCTGTATCTCAAAAAAGGTAAAAAAAAAATCTCTAGAAGAGTTGGCATTTGCTAGGTACTACTTTCTTCAAAGTTCTCCTTTCAATAAGATTAGCCTCACTTAGCTGCCTTTCTCTGTCTGTGACTGGGAAGTAAAAGGGAACATTATTGGCAGTATCTCTCAACTCTCAGGATGACACCTTTTTTTCCCCACCATTAATCATTCACTGCCATTCAGAGAGTCTTTAAAAATTTGCTTATAAGTAATCTTTCAATGAGAAGAGGCTGACTCTTTAATGATTTCATGCCCCTTTGTCACCACACAGGTGATTATGTGTCCACAAATATTCATTACAAGTTGGGTTTTCTCAATTAAAATAATAGCCAATCCTAATTTTTTTTTTTAGTTGAAGTTGTATTATGAACTATCACAGTATGTCTGTTAAGTTTATAGATCTTTAATATAACCAGGATGTCAGCTTTACACACTGAAATCCATGAAGCTGATATAAATTTGATATACATCAAAATTCTTTTGATTAAAATAATTTCCATAGAAATTATTTTAATAATTTAGTTTTGGCAGTCATATAAACTATTTGGCTAACAATCTGGGAAAATTGTATACAAATAGATTGTAAATGAATACATGTTGGAAAAATATTAAAGTGGGTATTATGAGTCAATAGCAATTTTTATTATATATGAGGGCCTGATTTTTTGGTAAAACATACAATACTAGAGAAAGGAAATATTTTACATGCAAATACTTGGATTATACACAACCATTTAGTTACACATTCATAGCAAATATAAAAACAAAAGGGCTATATTCTAAATGTGCACAGATTTGTTTGCCTCTATACATTGAGTCAACAGGTAAAATTTACAAGTCTTATGCAGAAATCTGGACTTCAGACTTGTCCTAAAAAATCAAATATGGTACCCCCTGAGTTTCTTTCACCGTTGGCCTGCTGTGCAGAGGTAGCTCCTTTATAAAAGGCATATATTCTCCAGTTTGCTACTCTGCCCACGTCAGTACTTTCCTTACTCAGATCACCTTCCTTTGTCCTTGTATTTGAGTTTACAACTCTTATGTTGTAGTATATTTTGATAAAGATTTCAAGGCTTTTAAGTCAGTGTGTATTTGTCTATAACATATAGTCTATAGATTATATAAATCCCTCAGTTATGGGGTTGAATTTTAGAATTTAGTTTAAAACTCTTTATCTATACCACAACTAAGCATCTTCCCATACGAATGCCTAGAAGTTTTTCTTAGGTTATTCCTGGTTATAGTTGGATAGTTTAGGAATATTGCAGCCATTATATCTTTCTCCTCAGCAATCTTCCTTAAAAATGCAAGTGACTTACTTCTTTTATTATGCTAGAAATAACCCATAGGGATCAGTAACTTTTACTGATAAGCCATTATATTTGTGTTTGCTTTATATTTAGCCTAAAATAAAAAATAATTTTAAATAGCCATTTAAATGGAAACCAGTAAAAATGGATTTAAAAGGTAGAGTTGCATTAGGGTCCCAGCATTACCATTACAATTGAGAATAGAGTTTCTTAGAGTTTCTTACTGAGCTTTGTTTTTTTTTAATAATTATTTTTAAATTTTTTAACCCTCTCTCTCATACAGAACATACTGAGCTTTATAACAGTTAAGATAACTCTTGTATTAAAAGAAACCCACAGACTGTTTAATAATATGGAAAATATGTACATTTGAAGCCAATCACTCTTAATTCAGAGCTCACTTCCTTAGTGGCCCATTTGGAGCAGGAGTGCCTGACATTGGCATCTGGGATCCTAACATCATTGATAGAAGTGAATCAAGCAAGTTTGTACCACCCAGAGGAAACCTCCAACTGTATCGGGAAGCTCTGGAAACTGTATCTCTGAAACTCTTAATTCCTTAAATGTTCATATTTGCCAGAAAAAGTATTGCCAAATGGCTATTAGGTAAAGTTCAAGAGATTTCATGATTATTGGTTATAAAATACAGTTTTGTAATACTTCTCATATGCAGATTGTCATGGAGTCTTTCTCTTGGGGTACAATAAGCAAATATTCTTTGGAATATAGCTTAAGAAACACTGCTCTAGAGATAACAATTTAGATCATTAATTTATGTAAAAAACAAAATATTTGCTACTATGTTTTAGGTTTTGGGGGCTGTAGAGATAAAAGATACAGGCCTTACCCTCAAGAAGCTCTTGGTTTCAGAGGGAAACAATGAAGTGATTACAATATGCCATGCCAAGTGCTGTGATCAAAGCAAGGATTCTTGGGACTGGTATGTATGAAGGGAGTTCTGGCGATGACCACAGTTAATGTGGGGAGGCAGAGGAGGGGTGTTTGCAAGGCAGAGAGCAGCACATCTGAAAGCACAGAGGAGTGAGGAGGAAGGGACTGGTTTTCATTATTTCCTTTCTATGTTGTATGTTGAAGTTCAAACATCTTACAGAAGATTTTTAGTTCATTTGAGAAATTTGTAATTTTGCGAATTAAAAATTTTTTTTTTGCTGTTTTATAGGACGGAAACACACCACTTTTATTTGCTATAATTTACAAGAGACAGCAAATGGTGGAATTTTTAGTGAAAAACCAAGCAAATGTACATGCTGTTGATAGGCTGAGATAGTACAGTAGTTCTTGTTTAAAATAAAAACCTGAGTGTTCTAGAGTGGAGTTACTCAAGTCAGAAATTAATAAAATTAACATAATTATTGGCATATGGTGAAAAATATCAGCACAGATAGGTAGAAAAGCAAATATTGGACTAAGCAACATAAAGAACATAGAGTAGGATTCATTTTCTCTTACAGAGTGTTTGTTATTTGTGATCTGATGTTTTTGGTCTTGTAATCTTATATTAGCTAAAGGTTTTTGTATTTTATTAAATTTTGAAGTGTGGGCTTTTAGTTTATTATACTATTATTATACTACTAGTATTGCATTATTATTATTATTATTATTATTATTATTTATTGTTTTCAGGCTGTAGATGGCCCTTATCTGACTCCTAGCTGATATGAATTACAGTATATCAGACTAGGAAAGCAATGGGGAAATCTTGATTTAAATCTTTGCCTACTTTAGATAAATGACCTCAGCACAGTTTCTTGGCCATCAAGGGACTATAAGTTACCAACTTGTATTATGTCATACCCCAGGGGAACAAGAGACTTCCTTGTTGTCCCTTTTAGCCTTGCTGATAATTTACAAAGATGAACACTTGAGCACCCAAGATGCTTATAGACACAAGCTAGTACATGTAAACGGTTATTATGTCTACATTGACAGGCAGGATATTAAATTGATAGTGTATCAAACTAGCTGTTTAGTAATGACTTTATTAAAGTTCTTGAATGGAGTTATTTGTTATTTTAGAACAGCCCTCATGCTTCCTGTACATTATGGCTTATCAGGTATTGTCAATATTTTTCTTCAGCAAAATATTAATGTCTTTACTCAAGATATGTGTGT